AATAGACCGGTTCACGCTCTTGAGTGCATGCTGGGTAATTAGGGCAAGCAAATCCAAAATGGCGGATACGAACAACACTCTTTTGCTCGATCTGAATACTTATAGTTCAATATAGAAGTCACAGCTACATTTTGAGCTCTTTATGTTATTGCCATCTCGCTCAAAAGTCGTTGACAGTTCAATATCCCAACAACACGATCATGGCCACGCACCTCGAAGATTTTTTGGAACTTTCATGTGGGGAATTGCAGTTTTATCTTAAACAGCGAGGTTTGCCCTCTGGAGGGACACACTCGGATCTTGCTGCTCGTGCTTTGGTAGCTTTTGAACATAAAACGCCTATTCGAGATTCGGCCGAAAGCCAAGCCAAGTCACTACAAAATGAACATGTAGAACTACTACGCACATGCGGTATAAAGGATCCGTTATCCATGGTCGATTGGGAGGACTGTGTAACAAAGTGGCCGCATACAAACATTGGTCAAATATTCTCGTTTATACTTGGAAAAAAAGCTTTCGACACTGACTATATTGGTCAATATAAAATCAGAAAAGCGTATTCATACTTTAAAAGTGGTTTTGTGCACACTGTATACTCAAAAACAATTCATGGACAAGACAAAGTTCTGTTGTTTGCATCTGTCACTCCATCTCAAAGAATTCGCGAAGAACCTCATAAAGTGTGGATAATTTGTAAATCTCCCGGTGAAATTCTTGGGGCATATTGTAGCTGTACAGCTGGATACAGTCAGTGCTGTAATCATGTCATAGCCCTTTTATATAAAGTTGAGTTTGCCAACCAGAAAGGTTTCACAGATCCTTCCTGCACAGATAAGGCATGTGTGTGGAATAATACTAGCAAGAAAGACATCCAACCCATGAAATTAAAGGACATGGTGTTCCAAAGCCACAAGGTAGTCAAAGAAAACCCAAGTTATGCTATTAATAGCAAGGAAAAACAGAACTTTGATCCTCGGCCAGAATCCTTGAGGGTTGTTACCGAAGAAAGCAAGCAAAAGTTTCTAGCTTCTCTTCGAAACATAAATCCTGATGCTGTCATCCATATTTCATATGCACCACCAACTTCTGATGATGTTCCCCCATCACTACAAATTATAGCTGATGATATATCCTCTAAAAACAATGGTGTAGATGCTGATGAATTAGTGAGACAATTTCTGGAACAATTATCTTTCAATGACAGTAGCATTAAAGAATTAGAAAAGGCCACAAGGGATCAGGCTAACTCCAGTATATGGAAAGAGCAAAGAAAAGGTAGAATAACTGCATCTCATTTTCATGAAGTATACACAAAGACAAAAACAATTCTTAGAAAAAGAAAGCCAAATTGCAAAGTAACACCTCTTCTTGAGCGAATTTTAGATTGTACCGATCTGTCAATGATACCTGCCATTAAATGGGGAAGAGAACATGAGAGAGATGCTGCTGCATCATTCTTTGCACAAGAATCCAAAAAACACAAAAATGCAAAGCTTCAGACTTGTGGCTTGTTTATATCTAAAACTTACCCTTTTGTGGGAGCTACCCCAGATGGTATTTTTCACTGCGATTGCTGTGGTCATTCTTGTATTGAGTATAAATGTCCATACTCACTTGCAGACATGAAATTTGATGAGCATTGGAACAATACAACTTATCTAGAATTAGTGAATGGGAATATCATGCTCAAGAGAACCCACAGTTATTATTACCAGATACAAGGACAAATGGCCCTAACAGGATGTCCTAAAACCTTTTTTGTTGTTTGGACTCCACTTAGTGGTGCTCATATTGAAATTATTGAGTTTGATTTAAAACTGTGGCAAGATATCATACCAAATCTAACAATTTTTTTCAAGACTTATGTTGCTAGGGTGTTGCTAGGTACTAGGCCTATTTATTATTGTGCTGTCTGTGAAAAACCCTGTCTTGAGCCAGATGAAATTGAATGTGATGATGAAAACAGTGTTCAGTGTGAATGTTGTATGCTATGGTTTCACTGGGCCTGCTCAAATTTTGAACAAGAATCAACATTCATTTGCAGATTTTGCAATGAACAAGCAATAGATAATGATTAAAATTATAGAGTGGAAGCAATATGACCTCAACAAACTACTAAATAGTACAAAATAGTGCGGATGAAACCAAAACATTATAGTATTTAGTATTACTAAAGTTTCAAAGTTATTGTTTGAACATTGTTGTAGCTATATACAAACATGTTTGTGTAATTCCATAAAGGAATTGTATTCTAGAAGATGTGTAAATAAACTTGACTACCATAGCTTATAACCTGTGAGAAAATTGAATGGGAACATTTTGGACTGGTACAAAATGCAAACATAATTGATGAAATGAAATCTATGTACTCAAAGGCTTTTTCATATTACATATTGCTGCACAAATGATGATTATGTCATCCAAATGGGAAAGAATGCTAATGGGAATTTCTTGCTTTAACATAGCAAAGTCTTTAATTCGCTTGATAGCCTGCTCGACATAAATCCGTACATTAGCAATAAGTGATGTGTTCCTAACATCAGCACCTGACATCTGGAGATTGGAATGCTTGGAGGGTGGAATTGTTAGAGAACATTGGTAGTATGCTAACAGGTCATGAATCTTGAATCCCCTGTCTGCCATAACTTGGTCATGTGGCTGAAGATAGTTTAAGAAACCACTGTTTTCTACAATAAAAACATCAGATGACCTCCCACTGAAGGTCTCAGAGACAAATGATATGTGGCCATTTGGTGTTATCCCTATCAAAAACTTTAACGTGTAGTGTTGTTTGTAATTTGACCAACACATTGCCGCATTCTCTAAGCTTGATGGGGTTTCAGAGAATAGTTCTGTGCAGTCAATGATGACTCTACACTTTCTGTAATATCGTCGAAACATATCAGGCATATTTCTTTGAATTAAATACCTATCTGGCCAGGAAATCATCCACTTTAATTCTTTAGACATCAGCTTAACCCAAGTGGTAAAGACAGAGCTGACAGTCGCCTCGGAAACTTTGAACCTTAAAGCCAGATCAAATACAAAGAGTCCTAGCTTGATTCGCATCATGGTTAGCAAAAACTCTTGCTCCAAGGTTAGAGCTCTCTGTACATTATTTGACCTGGGCTTGGTGGTGTCCTTCAAAGCACTTTCTTTGTCTCCTTTCCAGTAGTGCATACACATGGCTTTTTCAAAGAGTGTATTAAACATCAATTGAAATGTTTCTACGTTAGGGAATCCAGTGAAACGCTGGACATCTTGCTCTGTTGTTAAATCAGCAAACTTCATACTTCCGTATGTTAGCGGATTTATTATCAAGCATTGAGTTCCTTCTTCTTTGAAGCTTGAGTTATTGGATGCCTCAGCAGTAGAGACAACTTCGTGTCTTGCCACAAGCTTTCTTTTCTTGGGTGAAGGTTTGTTAGAGTCACTTGGCACCATATACAAAGTTGGAGTTGGTGAGGAGTACGTTGGCTTTCCATATTGAAAGTGATTCGAACAAACAGTCTTGTAGTTGCCGGGTTCGAATCCAACAAGTCCTTTGGATATGCTGGCAATCCATTGGGCTCTTTTCTTTGGATCCTTCGGAATAAAATGCCAGCGAAGATTTTCGACATGTGACCGTTTCACTATCTTTTTTGGATATCTTGAGTCGTTGTTACAACCTCCAACACAACATCGGTAGTTAACCATTATATATCTTATTTTTTGACGCATTAAAATCGAAAATACAGAGCTCAAAATGTAGCTGTGACTTTTATCTTGAACTGTCAATACTAAAAATTGCGACCAGTTCTGAAACAAAGCCGATATTCATTAAGTATTCAGATCAAGCAAAAGAGTGTAGCCGAGCGTGTCCGCCATTTTGGATTTGCTTGCCCTAATTACCCAGCATGCACTCAAGAGCGTGAACCGGTCTATTAGATTATGTACACAAAACAATCAAAAACTGCTCAAATTGCTGTCAACACCTGTTTTGAAGTTGTTGTTTAAGATTTGGTACTTTTCATCGGTCCAGCGTTTTGAATTCGTGGCGCGACGCTCCGACGTTCGTCTAAAAATTTTTTAAGCTTCTAAAACGGCATTTTGGTGGAATTCTGTTATTATCGATTTTCTCCAAAATGGATGGATATCTAGCCAAAACGAAGTATGCAGTGGTTTGTTTCACGGTAAGGCCTACCTAATTTGAGAATATGAGCTGAATCAGTTTTTTAGCTGTTGCCACGATAATTCGAAAATGTTCTATTTTTGGCCACAATTGCTCTTAAACATCAGCGGCACTTTACCGGGTTACCCTTGTGTTCAAATGAGGCCGACGGCTGTTTACGGGATTTAATTTCTTGTCATTTTAAGTGGTTTTTCTCTTCTTCACCCATCTCGGTCTTCGACTTCAAGGGGCAGTTCGTTCACAAGGCACGATTTTTTCACTCTCTCGCCGAAACCAAAGGGCAGAACCTCTATTTTCGCTTTGATTGAGCGACTTTTCCCCCATGTGACTTGAGATGAGTAAATATTTTGTACCTTTTTCGATGAATCGCATTTCCATGCCCTCATCTTGGCCTTTGGAAAACAGATATGACATGAATCAAACATGTTCAAATGACATTTACCCTAATGACTGTAGAGTCAGTGAAGAGATCAATGTGTCATAAAAGAAGCAATAATAAGCGTCACTAAAGACAATCATGCAGAAGTGCAATCTCCAGAAAGTTATCGCGTTGCAATGACACTTAATCAGATTTCAAGAACTAATGAAATTTGGTGAAACAACATAGCATGACAATTACTAAAATAAATTAAAGCTAACATCACAGAGGAGCACTCTTAAAGATGCAAATCCTGGCAGAACTCTGATAAGACTTCGAATTCCCTTTTAGGGTCGTCGAAACACCGGTCATTGAAAGACCTTGTAACGGACAGTAGTTCTTTCCAGTACTACCCTTAACCGAGGAAAATCAAACCAATTAAAATTAATTGGTGATATCAACTAAGTTGAAATAGTAAATTGGCCACCGTAACGAATAAAAAAGCTGACGTTTCGAGCGTTAGCCCTTCCTCAGAGCGAATGGAGGAATTGTGGGTTGTATGTGGTTTTATATGTAGAAAACGGAGCTACGCCATTGGTGGAAACATGGCAAAGAGAAAAACACGAATAAATTTGTGGAATGAAAAGCGTTCGTCGTTACCTGTGGGATTAGGAGTGCCGATTTGAAAGATTAACTTTTGTTCAAGAGTTTTGCGGCGTTCCGTGTTGCCTGAATGTAAAGAAAGACCTCAGACAGCCATACGTTTTTTAGAATTATTAGGTAAAATTAAAGTGTCTAGCGACTGGTTTAGATGCGTCCTTGTCATTCCTTTCCACGTCGCGAAGGTGTTCTCGGAGTCGGTCACCTAGTCGTCTTCCTGTTTCGCCAATGTATAACTTTTTGCAATAAGTGCAAGTTGTGCAATAGATAACGTTGGCGGAGGTGCACTTGAAGTGATCGGTGATCTTATTGGATCGCTTGGGTCCCGATACTTTCTCAGCGTTGTGAATGAAGGAACAAGTTTTGCATCGTGCGCGACCGCATTTAAAAGTGCCGGGTTGGTCATTAGTTTGGGATGAACTTCTGACCAAAACATTGCCATGTTTTTGTCGCGTTTGAATGAAATAAGTAGAGGTTGCAAAAAGATAGTGCCAACCTCTGGATCATTCTGAAGTAGTTTAAAGTTTTTAAGAATAATCGATTTAACTGAGTGGTTGTGAGGGTGAAACGTGAGAGTGAATGGAATGCGGACGGAATTTTCCTTCAGTGACGTTTGTAGGGCTGACTGTCGATCAATAAGTTGGGCGTGGTGGTGACCTGCTTGAACGACAGAAACAGGGTAGCCACGTTCTTCGAAAAACTGGCACATTGACTCTGATTTGTGGGAAAAATCAGAGTCATGACTACCTAAACGACAAAGTCTTAGAAACTGAGAAAAGGGAATGGAATTCTAAACATGAGATGGATGCGAAGATGAATACAACAAGTAATTATGTAAGTCTGTAGGTTTGTAATACACACTAGTGGATAAACCGTTGCGTTCAATTGAAACTTTGATATCTAAAAAAGATAAAGCCATCTCCAGAAATCGCGGACATCTGGAGCCCGCAGAGTACCAACAGTAATACGAAAAACGAAGATGGAAAGTAAATGCTATTGAGGTTTTTCCTTTTCAATATGATGATGAGTAAAACTTTCTTAGCTTCGGCAATCAGAATTTTGCAAAGAAATAATTTTCCTCCGGGAAAATTAAACATACTGCAAAAATGGTAGTGTCCGTTGGCCACAAGACTAAGGTTTGGGCTCATACTTTTTAGGCGACTGTGATGCCTAAAAGCAGCGCAGAAAAACAGAAAGCACGCTCCTTTGAAATGTGCTGACCGAAATAATCGTCAGATCTTTTAAAAATGGAAGAAACGAGCTTTCGAGTGATGCATTTTGAGCGAAATCTGAGGCACACTTGGCCGAGATATCGCTTCTTGAACTAGGTGTATTTTGCCGACTTTAGCGTAAGATTCCAATGGATTGTGCTGGATTTCGTTTCTGCGGAGTTTTCAACCAGAGCAAATATACAAGAAAGGTACGCTACACAGCCTACAAATGTCTAAGTCAGTCAGTTTAAAGCATGTTTTCATTATGTCTGTTTGCACATCTCTCTCATCACGCTTACTTTGTCGGTATTCTTATTTCAAAAACCTTGACCCTTCCCGATTTCGATCATATGTCACACAAGTATTTTAAAAATTTAATAGAGCTCCAGGTCGAAAAAACCTTTCGCAAATATACATGAAATTCGGTTACTTTGCCATGATTTTTTTTTATAAAATACCTCATTATATATCAGCCTATCAGCCCGGACTTGCACATTTTTGCTTTCTTTATTTCTCTGAGAGATATTCACCGTTTATTTTCGATTTCCATACAAATCCCTAACAGTTTTTACGAACCCGATCCCGTGGCCGACAAGATGAAATTTTCAACGGTTTATCAACTAGTGTGTATAACAAACCTACAGACTCACATAGTTACTTGTTGTATTCATCCTCGCATCCATCTCATGTTTAGAATTCCATTCCTTTGCTCAGTTTCTAAGACTTCGTCGTTTAGGTAGTCATGACTCTGATTTTTCCCACAAATCAGAGTCAATGTGCCAGTTTTTCGAAAAACGTGGTTACCCTGTTTCTGTCATTCAAGCGGGTCACCACCGCGCCCAACTTATCGATCGACAGTCAGCACTACAAACGTCACAGAAGGAAAATTCCATCCGCATTCCATTCACTCACACGTTTCACCCTCACAACCACTCAGTTAAATCTATTATTCTTAAAAACTTTAAAATATTTCGAAACGATCCAGAGACTGGCACTATCTTTTCGCAACCTCCACTTATTTCATTCAAAGGCGACAAAAACATAGGCAATGTTTTGGTCACAAGTTTATTCCAAACTAATGACCAACCCGGCACTTTTAAGTGCGGTCGCGCACGATGCAAAACTTTTTCCTTCATTCACAACGCTGAGAAAATATCAGGACCCAAGCGATCCATTAAGATCACCGATCTCTTCAAGTGCACCTCTGCCAACGTTAATCTATTGTATAACTTGCACTTATTGCAAAAAGTTATACATCGGTGAAGCAGTAAGACGACTAGGTGACCGATTCCGAGAAAACCCTCGCGACGTGGAAAGGAATGACAAGGACGCATCTAAACCAGTCGCTAAACACTTCAATTTACCTAATCATTATAAACAACGTATGGCTATCTGAGGTCTTTCTTTACATTCAGGCAACACGGAACGCCGCAAAACTTTTGAACAAAAATTAACCTTTCAATTTGGCACTCTTAATCTCACAGGTATCAACGAATGCTTTTTATTCCAAAAATTTATTCGTGTTTTTCTCTTTGCCATATTCCCACCAATGGTGTAGCTCCGTTTTCTGCATATAAAACCACCTGCAACCCACAATTCCTCTATTCGCTCCGAGGAAGAGCTAACGCTCGAGACGTCAGTTTTTTTATTCGTTACGGCGGCTAACTTAGTTGATATAACCAATTGCCTTGTTACCCCCACCGACGCAGCACCACAGTTTCTTTAGAAAATTTCAGCCTTTGATTAGAATTAACTTGTAAATGTTGTCTCCGGGCATTGCATAAAGTGAGAAATGAGTTTCTCTCACTATGGTTGTTCGGAAGACAGAGGCTGTAGAAAAAATTCCTTGACCTAAGGTCAACGTTAAGCATATTTTGACGTAGACTCCAGTAGAACAGGTTTGTTTGGAGAAACAGCGTTTTTAATGCACAACAGAATGATAGTCCTTATTTCCTAAAGATGGTTTCCGATAAACTTACCTTCATTGTTTTGATTTCGTCCACACTTTTCTATCAAATAGCCCAAGAATTGTTGGAATTTAGGACTCAGAACACGTCGTACCTAGAAGTAAGCCAACAAGAACAAAAGATAGACAGCCAAAGATAGTATGTGGCCATTAGTGAAGCACAATTTTTATGGCTCGAAAGACTCATGGTTTCCAATCCTCTGGTCTCCAACATTTAATGCCTGTGCTTCTTTGAATTCGCCGGTGGATTATAAAAAAACTTTCCTATTTTATTGCAATTGCATTTTTTGAGGTTTTCTTTTATCGTGCAAAGAAGTATTCGGTAATTCCGCGTCCAAACATATTCCGCAACTCTGCCGATTCCTCGATCCACCGTCCCACCCTTTCTCAGTTTCTCCGTTACATTATTCTTTTGAATAACTGAAGGCATCGTATTTCGCAGCTTGGTCGCTTCACAAATTTAGCAGCATCTTACGGCTTAAGTCGCTGATTCGGACTTTAAAATGGGCTTCTTTTTCGAAGGAAAAAAATTCCTCAAAGCTTCCATTATTTACAGCTCATATCTGTTAAGATATTCCAGTAGGGAAGGTTTTGATTTAAATTACGCGTGGGTGGATTATTGTGTCATTGTTTTGGGTTGTTAATCGTTTAAAGTTAATACGTTTATGCGCGTTCTTTTTTTGCGAGGGTTTTTTCGTATGGAAAGCTTTTTCTTCTGGAAGATCGAAGACAATCCGAAAATATTCAAATATCGAGTACCGCTAAATTTTCTTCGCGGTTGAACTGGTTCACTTTACATTCTTCACGGCATGGAATAAATATTTATGAAAGTATCATTTTAATGTCAGCTTATCTATCAGCAGAAAGAAGTTGAAGCAAAGATATGAAGGCTGCGAGTTATTACCTGTTTTGTCGATAAAGTGTAGAGAATGGGATTGATGGCAGAGTTAACCGGCAGAATAAAGACTGCGATCCAAACTGCCAGGTCACCAGGTGTACGGAAGGATTTTTCCAAGAGAGACCTCATTCCAATCACCACGATAGGCAGCCAGCAGACACAGTCGGTGAGAACGATGAAGAACACTCTTTTGGCAAGCGAGGCCTCCCTCTTCAGGTCGGCTGCCCTTTTCTTGGCTTTCATTCTCCTCTCTCTTTCAGTCCCTTGCTTAGCCATGCGCCTGTTTGATGTGCAGGACGTATAGATAATCATCGAATAGGCCACAATGACAAAGAACACAAGGGTAAAGTTTAGACCGACAAACATTGCGACAGAGTATTCCCAGCCTGAGGGCTTATCAGCGGAAAGCTGCAATGGCAGACATACGACTGATCTGCCATAAAAGTGGTGACCTTTTTGGCGACTACCAAAGTAGTCGATGCCCACCGTGGGAATAAATGCAATTATCCCACCAACAATCCAGATAAGGTGGCAAAAAAGGTGCGTAACCTTGATTGTAAGGGACTTTCCACGATAGGGGAACAGAATATTCTTAACCCGGTCAGCGGATATCAAACAAATAGTCATCACAGACACCTCACTTGACAAAACAGCAATGGCACCTGTTATCTGACATGACAAACTGGAACGCCAGTTATAGTCATGCAAGAAATACTGCCCTGCCCAAATGGCATCCATCACACCTATTATGATAAGGTAGACACCCATCAGTCCATCAGACCCTGCCAAATGTATCAACATGATAGACTGTATCTTGTTTTTCTCCTTCGTCTCTTTAAATACCAGCCGCCACACGATCACAAACACAGCACCCACCAACGACAGAATTCCGACCACCCAGAGACATATCCTAGGTGCTCGATTTCTGAACATAGTTTCACAACTTGCGAAGCTGTCGACATAAACAAAGTCGCAATCCGCGTCCTCCTTCGTCAAATGGCAACACATCAGGTTGGTGTCTACAGTCCTACGGTTCACAGTAAAAAAGAGTTGAAATGGATCACAAAAGAGGAAAAAAGGAAAACTTTGATTCGCTACAGTATCTGAATTTAAGACAATGAAAGGGTGATGGTAATACTCTACATGCTGCCTTATTGCATACAAATAAATAGAATCTGTCAATTGTACTTCTCCAGACATCGAGAATGTTTCATTGACTTACGCTGTTATTAAATTTTTCATGTTCGAGAAGAAACCGGCCGGTAGTTCTCGCATTTCGTTGTAATGGAAGTAACTGCAAATCAAAGGAAAACGATTCAATTTAACACCACTCGCTAAGTTAAAAGGATGCGGCTATCTTAAGCTTGAGTATTTTCAAGCTTTTAAACTCTCTTTTTTCCTTTGCTCCACCCAATTCTCACATACCCCCTAAACATTCAACTCTTAACACTTTATGAGACGCCCTGGGATTCAGAGAGGAAGGAAGGAACGAAAAGATATATCATTATGCGTCAACAAGTTTTTCTCAATTTCGTTGAAACCTTTACAGTTAGGACCCTAAGTAATGGGAAAAATGAGCATTTTAGAAAACAAGGGAGCAAGTAACCAAAACATCCTTTCCAACATAGTCACACTTATCGAATCGTGTATACATGCACAGTATTACAATTGTACTCCACTTGAGAGGAGAGGTTTGATTGAGAAAAAGCCCTCATTTAATTTTTCCCAAAAGTTCTTTGGTGGCCAGATCTGATTGCTTTTAGGAGTATAAAATTCGCGCGTGAATATACCAAAGCTCATCTTAAGTTTTACACTCGTAGATGTATCTATGTGTAATTCGAATAACGCAACTGTCAAATTGCATGAATCGACTAATTAAACTACTTGTCCGTGAAGATGTGGGGAGGGATGCTAATCCGGGAATCATGATTATGGGCACAGTCTCCCTTGAATTTGGAATTAACTCCCGGTTAAGTTTAATGACACGTACGCCTTGAATAGTAACAGTTTGTTCATACTCACAGGAATCGAATACTTGGCGCAATATCTTTGAAATGCTCGTTGCTTACTGTGCGGATTTTGTTGAAATAAAAGCTCCTGCAGATGACGATAGAATGAAAGAATAATTCTTTAATGACAAACATGGAAAAAATATATTTAGATAAAAAAATAAAACAGAATGAGTGACTGCGAGTGAGCACGAGTAACACCGAATGACCAAGAGTGACCCCGAATGACCACTAGTAACCCCGAGTGATCATGATTGACCACGAATAACCAAGTGGCTAAGAGTGGGCACGAGTAACCCCGAGTGACCAAGAGCGACTAAGGTCGAGTGACCAATAATTGCCACGAGTGACCCCGTGTGATCCAGCTCAGAGCAACTAGATAGTAAGCAATAATTAGAGGAAGGGAGGGGTGGTGTCATCTTCCTGCCTCCCGCCGCACGAGTTTTTTAACCGGTTTCATCCCTCGTCACCCTTCTCTGTCAACTTTTCGTCTTTACCTTTTATTTTTTTATTTTTTTATTTTTTTTATCTTTTGCTTTATATTTTAACGTGTTTCTGGTATTTATTGTTCGCGTTCTTTCCATTAACTTCCCTAACTTCCTTCCCACTGTCTTAGGATTCTTGGCGAAAACAAGCTCATTACCTAACATTTTTGAAAGCGGAGTGGCTCTGGGACCTTCCCTTTAAATAAAGGAAGTGATAAATTGTTTGTATATGTCAGTCTCCGGAAATGGTTTATCTACGGTGAAATCATAAGCTTTTGGATGAGGTCATGACGTCAGCCCAATTTATGACCTCTTCCCCTTGATCACGCGTAGTCACTCGTAATTGTTAGTAGTCACTCGTGGCCATTCGCTGTCAATCGTGGTCACTCGTGTGTACTTTTTGACACAACCTACTCAAATGACTGATATGCAGAACATGCCGACGGCTGCGCTCTAACAAGACCTCAGTGCTTCACTAGCGTGAAAATGAAAAATCAGAGACTTACATAGACTGCATGTTTGTCAAGCCTTTAAAAACTCCACGCGGTAGGTACTGAATACTGTTTTCATAAACAGCCCTTGAACGACAAAGAAGACAGATCAATATCACTTAAAGTACAGAAAACTGTAGAAGCAAACTTCCATTGCCAAAAAAAAACTTTCAATGGCTTTATCGAATCTTTCAAGTCTATTACAATAATATCTGTTTGAACTATGTAATACTGAAAAGAAGATTAAAAATAGACAAAAACTTCATGGCAAGGGACTGCTTTAAAAATTAGGTGAAGGCGATTAGCGGTTGCTTTGCTTAATCCGCGTATGAGTACGCGCTGAGTTATGTACGGGAAAGAATTGCTACATCCTTTTAGTAATTTCTTTTTCTTTTTCTCTGTCATGTGAAATCTTGCCAGTGAGATCCGAGTTGGCAGTTGCTATCCTGGATGATATAGCAACTTGAAACTCTAGCTACGCCATACGTGACTCTGGTAATCTCCAAGGTGTCTGAATCTAATCCAGTCAAAGCACACTAGTTTAAATGATTCAATGACACCTCGAGCAAAAGTTGTTGAGGGAATAAATGTGTTCACCCTTTGCATCACGCCACAGATACAGTGTAACTTATAATTTAGAGAGTTACTTATTCTTCCAACAGAAAATTTAAAGGAACCAAATAATGGGACAGCCGCCAATGAACATTGATTACAGATGATCAGATGTCTCCTGAAAGGTCACGAATTATTACAAGTGCGGTTAGGTATAATTTCCGTCCGCCACCTCATTCAGATAAATTACTAGGTTTACTTACAGGTCTTTCAATTTGGACAGTCCTTGGAACTGATCCGGTGACAGGGTTACGAGGCTGTTGTTCTCCATGTATCTATGCGAAAAATAAAATGTAGGAGACGCTCTGTATAACTGTTTAACAGTAAAGACTAGTTTTAAATGATTGCTTGGGCTTATAAACGCTTCTCATGAGATCCGACAAAGATCATTCATATCGAATATTCACTTCATGCAAACATTCTTGTTGAAATCGTTCGTGCTTTGTCCCTTAGCAAACTGTTCTACTGCTCATCAAAGTTGTCCAAAACTTAATTGAAAAGCATCGCTAAAATTCTTTCACCGGGATGAGGAAGTTTTGATCATATCACGCTTGCACTGATTGTGCTGATCGCTGGTTAAATAATGGCTTAACGACGATATATACCCGGGGTATATATCGTCGTTAAGCCGATGTAAACTAGCTGACCAAATTTGTACCTTGTGACTTCTGCGATCGAGCAAAAGCTTGTATTTAATTTTTTTTTTTTAACGAAATACGGAAGTCGAAGCGTTTGAACACCCCTTGTTGGAGGAAAAAAAAAGCTGAAAGTTGTAGACTCTGTGTCCTGATTAGCACTTCACCTTAGTTTTAGATTTTAAAAAGATTCTCTAATATCTAGTAGACATTTTACTGGAGAGATTTTTGAATAGTCATCAACTCAGATGTTTTCAGACAATAACTAACCCACTTGATTAAACGCCTCGTTCTTTCTTTGTTATGATTTTGAACATCATCATCGTTATCATAATTATCGTATATCGCTTTTAGCCTCATGAGGAGGGTGTGGTATTATATTTTATTATATAAACACCAATGAAATACCTGGTGAGCTTTCGCGCACAGTAAAAATAACATGTTATCTTCACACGTAAAAATATCGCCGTTACCAAGGCTATAACAAATTGCGTCTTCTGCATCTAAAGCGAAAAGGTTTTTTTCTATTGGTATTCATATAATAAATAGAATATTACATGGTCGCTTGGAGATACGAGATTTATCTTCTCGTGTTAAAAAGAATTTTTCAAAACTCGAAGAGAAATTTCATATCTTCGCGCGGCCATCTTATTTCTTCCGTATGTGCGTTACCTTAAAGATAAGATCATTGATAATTCGTATTTCCTGCGTCTATTTTAAAAGTTACTGTATATTTTCTCGATTAAAATACTTAAACAAGCCGTTGATTAGGTCATCAGAACATCAGAGAAATAGTCGGTAGGCACAATGATCCTCTGCTTCTGGTTAAGGCCTCCTTTTAATTAATGCTCATTAAACAAGATACGTGCTGAACCAGTTTTTGTTACAAACACGAATCACTTACAGTGTCTCTATCTCGGAGAGATTTTTTAACTTTGGTAAACGCCGAAGTTTGTTACCGGAGAGAAAGCTTAAAAAAAAACAAATGAAAAAAACATTGAAAGATGACTCAACTGCATTCGTATTTGTGACTATCGGGGAGTGTTTTTTTTTTATAAGGGACTTCGCTAACGGACAATAAAACTTAATAGCTATTTAATTGCAAGGTAATACATCTCAGCTAAGTACCTAAACATTTTCTTCCTGATCTTGTGAATGTAAAAAAAAGGTGCTATTTGTACTTCCGCTGTTTAAATGGTCGTTTACATATCATGACCTGAATTCACTTCTCATTTGCTCATATCGCAAATCAATGATGTGGGAGTTAAACTGTAATATTTTAAAACTTCCCTGGTCGCTTGGCGGAAAAAATTAAGTCTCAAGTAAACTGGAGAAAACCACGGAGCGAGGCAGTTAATTTTACTTTTTTAATCTATAGTTTCTTTTAACTGGTGTTGTTGACCAAATCCATTAAAGTAGCATTATATGCTAGGGCGGAGAAATGATCCAACCTCTCTCCGCCCTGTTATCAACTGAAGCTAGTGAAGTGTATGGACCAGTTTTCGTTGATAGGTTTATTGTAATAGTCGATCAAATTTAATTGTGCAGAGCAATCCATTTGGAATGGCCACAATGCAAAGGTTTCACTGAAACCTTTACAAAAATAACTTACGTTTTCACTTGCTATAAAGGTGTACAAAATGCCACTTACAGCCTTTTCATGTGAACAAGGTTGCCAAAAACTTCTTCGGGAAGATGCTGAATTTTGTTGTTTGACAAATCCCTTAGAGTATTTATAGCGACAAAAAGAAAGCTAACATTTAATAACATAGATTCTACTTTGATTCTACATAACGTTTCCGTTATGTGCTGGACAGGAGCCAAATCGGCAAGCTGATAATACAATATACTAATTATTCTTTTACTTAATCAAGAGATGAAAAGTTTTTTGTGTGTCTCTGAAAATGTCAAATATGACCAGGAATCTCCAAAAGGCAGCAACTGGACTCAAAGGACAAATTTATTCCATGCTTAAAGCTGAAGACCTTTCATGTATTATGACATCCATCATATAACTGACACTACTCAGTAAATTCCAAACGAGGCTCAACTCGAGAAAGGTAGAAATAAGCGATGTTTTCAATTAATTTGGACCACCATTTATGAATGTTATTATCTGACCTGTGAAGGTTTTGTTTTGTTTCGTTTTTGTACGAAGAAAAGTCCTACTTACAGGATAGTCAGGTTGGTACTATTGCTAAGTATCCCTGGAGGCAAACTCTGCAACTGATTGTAGGACAAGTCCCTAAAAGAGAGGCGTTTGGAGAATTCCAGTTAGGACAAAAATTGATTAATAAACGAAGATTGAGTCAACAAACTACCTTTAATTTGCAATTGTTGCTTTCAAGTTATTTCCCCATTACGTGCAGAGACTTAAGGCATTGGGAAAGTTATCTCGGCGCGAACGTCAACTGTTGCACTTCTGTTTTGGATGACTGTTTTTCCGCCGAAATTCTTATGTGATGGAACTTAGGCAGCTACAGTTCATTAATCAGCCACAGTAATCGTTTTATAAATGACAAATGTCACGCTCAAACAATAGAAAGAAAGACATTGGGAGATATTGGGTTGAAACTATGAAAAGGTCTATACATCAGTTTCAAAATCTTTCTGCCGCCTCGGTATTTTTAACTTGAAGCATCCGTCCCTGAAAAAAACTAAATTCAACGGTCGAGTTTTTCTTGGTGTTCGTTACGTTTATCAAAATCATATGACAGGTGGAGGATTTGCGAGTTGCGTAGTATTTTTCTGAGTCCTGTATTGGCGAGAAAAGATGCAAGCATTAGCAAAATGTTTGCTTGTCGAATAGGGGAGAAGGTGAATCCAGTTGGCTATAACTGGAGGTTATTTTTTTGTTATTGGACTAGCTTTGAACAATTGTTCAAGAAAGTGAGTACAAGCCCGCTGGTGGCTGGTGAAGTCTTTTGGACATACCCGATCTCACGTGACCCAGAACAAGAAAGAACTGCTTTTCTCATAAAATATACGATTTCAATTTGTAAGTCTCTTTTTAATATGCAAGATTACAAGTAAGCATTCAGCACTAGACAGGTTTTTTTAGAGTAGTTTCTCTGTTTGGTTTTTGTAGAATTCGTCGAACGTATATCTGAGTTTCAAGAAAGATGTGTTCTTCTTTGATTTAATGCAGGGAAAAGAAAGTGCAACTTTAATTTTTTGAGAGCGGTATGTTTTTTGTCTGCAACGAAAGTAGAACTTCATTGTGCAATTCTATAGTTTTGGAACGTGCTGGTCAAGAGCTACTCTCATACAACCGATCAAAATCCATGACTGACCGGTTAACTACGAGCTCCGATTAATAAGTCAAGAACGAGAGGTTTTTGAAACCATCTTTTGAACGACTTGAGAGCGATAGATTACATACAAATTCAGTGCAAAGGAAAGGAATATTAACGTTGACCAAGAATTTATTAAAACAAATCACAAAATTTATACTTACACTTCTTCCAAGGCGGACATTCCTTGAAGAATGTTTCGCGGCAGCTTTTCCAGCCGATTACCACTCAACCGTCTACATAAAGAAAACGATAAAAATGTCTAATTGGACGAAAGATGTTTCAAACGTAGCGCAGAAATTTCTAATTATCTTATTGTGCTTAGAATCTCCACATCACAAATGCTATCCTCCTTTTCGGCGTGATTTTCTGGTTTAAATCTGTTTTAGAGCGTAAAATTTTCATCACAACATTCGCTTTTAATTCCGGGATATCGTTGGAGGTTTCTTGCCTTTGAATACGATCATGGTTTAGTATGTGTTTAAGAATAAATGTGGAAAAATTTCTATCGAAAGGAGCCTTGAACCCTTTGTTTATGTTCCGCGGGCCACCGTCAGCCTCGCTGTGGTGTTTGCAGTTTACTTTCCAACAGGGCGCCGGGAATTTTGATACAGGTTTTTCAAAAGTTACTTGTCTTACTTTTTAATTCTAATCATCGAATGTACTTCAACTGGTTTTCGTCAAACAACAGCATTCTCAAAACCCTCTTGGTCCTTTTGAGGTAATCTTGTGCATTCTCTGAAAGTAACGTGCCACAGGACACTACTCTCACTGATAATTTAAATTCTTGTCGTCTTGATGGACTCTTGATCAGAACCCTTGGTACTTGAGCCCGCAGGATACAGTGGTATTCTGTCTTTCAAATGATCGAACTATGTACCTTGTTCGAGGTTTCCATGTTGAACTGTTTTTGATTTCTGTAGTACTGGTCATGCCTAGATATTTATAATTATGTTGCACAACCAATGTAATAAGCACCTTCGCACAAGCACCCAGAAATGCGTTGGCAGAAACACGAAGCTAGCATATCAGCACTCGCACATACGACCTAGCTACATCTATAAACATTACTCTTTCGAATGATTACACTTTGGATAGAAAACAAAGCGTTTTGAAATGAAATCATTTTCACGCTGCTGACATATGTTCTTCCGTCAGAAAAAAATGAGAGCGAACTAAATTACTTCCCAAATGTTTGTTTGAAAAGGTGCCTAATAATTGCTACTTACAAATGTTTTATCCGATCTTGCCCAGTAAAGAGAGCTTCAGGTAGGTTTCTTAACTTATTATTTCCCAGCCACCTATAAAACACATTTAAAGTTCCTATGAGGCCTATTTTTAGC